CTTTTTACTTCTATTAGGCAGTTGATTATTGCTGTGGTTTTGTAAGTTTTTGGTCGTATTTCCCACCAAAAGTAATCATGTTATTAAAGCTAGATACTAGATAGCACACCACTAGCCTTTTTTTATTTTTTTTGTAAGAGATCAAAATAAGCAAGATTTTTGCATTTTGTTTGTTCTATTATTTTGGATGACTATTGTGCATCTAACATAATACATAATATGGTAAATGTGGTATCCCAATTATTAAATAAAAAACATTTCACATTTTTCAAGCTGCTCACTGCAGAGTGGATGGGTGGAGCTTACATCTAGCCAGCAAATTTCTAGAAATTACGACCACAAAATCCATCATTTTGATCACAAAAAATTATCACGAAAGCCTGGAGGGAATGTGCAGATACAAAATGCTTCTCCTAATTTCTCTAGTGAACTAACCTGCAGTCAACACTAAATGCCTGAGGTAAATATAATGCTACATGAAATATTATTCTCAAGCTGTTTTATTGATATCTTTCCATAGTTGAAACACTGGTTGAGAGATGTAAAACATATCGTTCATTGTCTCTTCTTCCTGTTCTTCTTCTTCTGCGCTTTTTACTGGTAGCAAACAGCATTGCATTGCCACGCACCCCCTTCTGGATTGGAATGTGGATCGCATGTGACAATGTTTTCATCTTTCGTCTGCATGCACCAAACCGCGACGCCTGTACGTGTACCGTTACAACCCTAATGTGTGTGTGTGCCTACGTAATTGTTTATTCGTTTATATATAAACAGTAAGCAGGAGACTTTTGCCTGACCTACCTGCACCGACTATGACAGATCCAGCAGTAATGTTCAGGTCACTCATAATTTCTCCATTCATCATTGTGGTTTGAATCTCACTACTTGATGGTACAGTTGTTGAGTTGTCTGTAGTGCTGAAAGCTAGTTCTGCATCAGTGATGGTTGACCCAGGTCTGAAATACATTTTAAGAAATAATGAGAAACACAATTTTTTTTTAATATAACCACTACAGTAATGGTTTGTTGCAGTTTTTTGCTTTCTCTCTCTCTCTCTCTCTCTCTCTCTCTCACACACACACACAAACACACAGAAAGAGATTTAGATTTTTAATAACAAACTTTATTCATTCATGACTCAAGTTTTTCCATTGATCTTGACTAGTGATGTCCTGTGAGACACTGAAAGTATACTGTTGGCAGTACTTTCACTTCAACCTTTCCATAGTCCCATCACTGACGTACATTTGTAAAACATGGTTTTCTTATTTTAAAATCGTTCCAGAAAGAAACAAAAACATCACATCACTTAACAGGTAACTGTTAAAATGCCAATATGCACTCTTTGTCTTAATAATTGTTATAAACCCATTACATGTGACTACTAGACAATGATCAGAAAAAACAGTTGGTGTAATAAAACAACTTTTCACAACATTAAATGATGCTTAAACAATAAAACCCATCCAATCTGGCTAAAGAAATGAATTTTTCTCTATTATATACCCATGTGTACTGTCTTACATTATTATTTAGATCCCCTCATAGATCACATAGCTATGGGTCCCAATCAGTTCATTTAAAGCACGACTTGAAAGCACCATTAATGACTGTATCATTAATACAGTCACTTTGTCTCTTGGACAAACATTACATCAATATCATTTTGTCTGATAAGCTCAAACAGCATATCTCTTTATGTATATCTCGGGCTCCATTCAAATTATGGTGGCTCACCTTCATCACACTAATTAAAATAAATAGTACGAGGAGACATAAACCAAACAAAAACATGAAAAAACAGCGTTTATGTGGTTTTGAAAGCCATCTTCAGTTTGTACTTCTAATTTCAGTTTGGAAACAAACTGTATTTCTTGAACTGTAAACTGTTCCCCTCCTTCACTTCTCATTTGCATTGTCACTGAATTAATAAACAATCTGCATGTCAAACTGGACATTTTTCTTTTTTTTTTTTTTTTTTGTTCTTTGAAGGAATTACTTTAGTTTGTCAAAGTTGTAATCACTGCGTTAACTTCGTCCTGTCCTACTGTCCACTACTTCACCATCAGAATCATCAATCATACTGCCTTCAGTCTCATCAAGTTTTTCAGATTCTGTTTTTGTCTGCTTATTTTAGCTGTTTCCGTACTCTTCCTATTTCTCTTTCTCTTACTTTGAAAAGTGTTTCATCACTAGAAATGTCTGTTGCCATCTTTTCCTCCTCTACAATAAACTCATCCACATTAGCAACATCAGTAGACACTGATTTTCTCTACATTTTCTGTATTCCTCCTGCAATAACCATAGATGCTATATCAGTTTCTTTCTCACGATTTTCTGTATTTCGCCCTGTTGCATTACTGCCATCATCTTCACTAACAGAATCCTCAGTCACTACTGTTATCACGCGCTGTTCTCTCTCAGGACACGCACGTCTAACGTGTCCTGTTTGCCCACACTCAAAACACGTCATAGTATCAGACGATACAAATGCAACGTAATCAAAGCTATCAATTCCCTGAATTTAAACGATACATTCAGTTCATCTAAATCACTCTTTAGGACATTATGTAGTTGCCATCTTAAACACACAACATGATTAAGCAAAGCCAATTTACACCCTAGTGGAATTCTTTTCCTTTTTGAGACAACAGACAAACTACAATCCTCCACACAGCAGTTCATCACAGGCGCGAGTTTAATCCCATACCTGTGTGAAAGTTGCTCAAACTTTGTTTGGCTTGGACCTGCCATTGCTGATCATTGTTCCTCAAACCACCCACTCTTTAAAACTTAAAAAGTAAAAAAGAACGAAAGAAATAATAGACTCAATCGCACCATGACACAATCACAGACGCCGACTCCGCCCTCTCACTCACAGAGAGAGAGAGAGAGAGAGAGAGAGAGAGCACTATTAAAATATGTTTAATTTACCTGAATCCTAGGACTTTAACTGCTGAGAATGAAGGAAACTTGTTTTTGAAGACAGGTTCAATCTGTAACAAATGATAGACAGTTACAACAGACACTAATAATTTGGTGTAAAAAAACAATGTGATTCTCAATGATTTTAATGGTTACTTTTATATTAACCATGAAATATGTCATTTTATGGAATCAGTTACATGGGTTTTAACTCACTGTGTCTTTTACACGCTTTGCCCTGTCAATATAAACTTGAGATGCTGGATTGTCCAGTTGAGTATCAAATGGATCAGAAGAGCTGAACTCCAATTTAAATAGCTCCACATTGGCAGGTGCTTTATCAGTTGTTGAAGACATTTGAATTGTAGAAGCAGTTGAGAGTCCTTTAAATGTTGTAGATGTTTCTGCTACACTAGTAGGGGATGTTACAGCAGGAGACGATGTGGCTGATGACAGTTCTGTTGTTGTTGGTTCTGGTGCAGCTGTACTAACAGTTGTTCTCTCAGTTGTTGTGGCTGGTGTAGTTGTTTCAGCTGTACTAACAGTTGTTCTCTCAGTTGTTGTGACTGGTGTAGTTGTTTCAGCTGTACTAACAGTTGTGCTCTCAGTTGTTGTGGCTGGTGTAGTTGTTTCAGTTGTACTAACAGTTGTTCTCTCAGTTGTTGTGACTGGTGTAGTCGTTTCAGTTGTACTAACAGTTGTGCTCTCAGTTGTTGTGGCTGGTGTAGTTGTTTCAGTTGTACTAACAGTTGTGCTCTCAGTTGTTGTGGCTGGTGTAGTTGTTTCAGTTGTACTAACAGTTGTGCTCTCAGTTGTTGTGGCTGGTGTAGTTGTTTCAGTTGTACTAACAGTTGTGCTCTCAGTTGTTGTGGCTGGTGTAGTTGTTTCAGTTGTACTAACAGTTGTGCTCTCAGTTGTTGTGGCTGGTGTAGTTGTTTCAGTTGTACTAACAGTTGTGCTCTCAGTTGTTGTGGCTGGTGTAGTTGTTTCAGTTGTACTAACAGTTGTGCTCTCAGTTGTTGTGGCTGGTGTAGTTGTTTCAGTTGTACTAACAGTTGTGCTCTCAGTTGTTGTGGCTGGTGTAGTTGTTTCAGTTGTACTAACAGTTGTGCTCTCAGTTGTTGTGGCTGGTGTAGTTGTTTCAGTTGTACTAACAGTTGTGCTCTCAGTTGTTGTGGCTGGTGTAGTTGTTTCAGTTGTACTAACAGTTGTGCTCTCAGTTGTTGTGGCTGGTGTAGTTGTTTCAGTTGTACTAACAGTTGTGCTCTCAGTTGTTGTGGCTGGTGTAGTTGTTTCAGTTGTACTAACAGTTGTGCTCTCAGTTGTTGTGGCTGGTGTAGTTGTTTCAGTTGTACTAACAGTTGTGCTCTCAGTTGTTGTGGCTGGTGTAGTTGTTTCAGTTGTACTAACAGTTGTGCTCTCAGTTGTTGTGGCTGGTGTAGTTGTTTCAGTTGTACTAACAGTTGTGCTCTCAGTTGTTGTGGCTGGTGTAGTTGTTTCAGTTGTACTAACAGTTGTGCTCTCAGTTGTTGTGGCTGGTGTAGTTGTTTCAGCTGTACTAACAGTTGTGCTCTCAGTTGTTGTGGCTGGTGTAGTTGTTTCAGTTGTACTAACAGTTGTGCTCTCAGTTGTTGTGGCTGGTGTAGTTGTTTCAGTTGTACTAACAGTTGTGCTCTCAGTTGTTGTGGCTGGTGTAGTTGTTGTTTCAGCTGTACTAACAGTTGTGCTCTCAGTTGTTGTGGCTGGTGTAGTTGTTTCAGTTGTACTAACAGTTGTGCTCTCAGTTGTTGTGACTGGTGTAGTTGTTTCAGTTGTACTAACAGTTGTGCTCTCAGTTGTTGTGGCTGGTGTAGTTGTTTCAGTTGTACTAACAGTTGTGCTCTCAGTTGTTGTGGCTGGTGTAGTTGTTTCAGTTGTACTAACAGTTGTGCTCTCAGTTGTTGTGGCTGGTGTAGTTGTTTCAGCTGTACTAACAGTTGTGCTCTCAGTTGTTGTGGCTGGTGTAGTTGTTTCAGTTGTACTAACAGTTGTGCTCTCAGTTGTTGTGGCTGGTGTAGTTGTTTCAGCTGTACTAACAGTTGTGCTCTCAGTTGTTGTGGCTGGTGTAGTTGTTTCAGTTGTACTAACAGTTGTGCTCTCAGTTGTTGTGGCTGGTGTAGTTGTTTCAGTTGTACTAACAGTTGTGCTCTCAGTTGTTGTGGCTGGTGTAGTTGTTTCAGTTGTACTAACAGTTGTGCTCTCAGTTGTTGTGGCTGGTGTAGTTGTTTCAGTTGTACTAACAGTTGTGCTCTCAGTTGTTGTGGCTGGTGTAGTTGTTTCAGCTGTACTAACAGTTGTGCTCTCAGTTGTTGTGGCTGGTGTAGTTGTTTCAGTTGTACTAACAGTTGTGCTCTCAGTTGTTGTGGCTGGTGTAGTTGTTTCAGCTGTACTAACAGTTGTGCTCTCAGTTGTTGTGGCTGGTGTAGTTGTTTCAGTTGTACTAACAGTTGTGCTCTCAGTTGTTGTGGCTGGTGTAGTTGTTTCAGCTGTACTAACAGTTGTGCTCTCAGTTGTTGTGGCTGGTGTAGTTGTTTCAGTTGTACTAACAGTTGTGCTCTCAGTTGTTGTGGCTGGTGTAGTTGTTTCAGTTGTACTAACAGTTGTGCTCTCAGTTGTTGTGGCTGGTGTAGTTGTTTCAGCTGTACTAACAGTTGTGCTCTCAGTTGTTGTGGCTGGTGTAGTTGTTTCAGTTGTACTAACAGTTGTGCTCTCAGTTGTTGTGGCTGGTGTAGTTGTTTCAGTTGTACTAACAGTTGTGCTCTCAGTTGTTGTGGCTGGTGTAGTTGTTTCAGTTGTACTAACAGTTGTGCTCTCAGTTGTTGTGGCTGGTGTAGTTGTTTCAGTTGTACTAACAGTTGTGCTCTCAGTTGTTGTGGCTGGTGTAGTTGTTTCAGCTGTACTAACAGTTGTGCTCTCAGTTGTTGTGGCTGGTGTAGTTGTTTCAGTTGTACTAACAGTTGTGCTCTCAGTTGTTGTGGCTGGTGTAGTTGTTTCAGTTGTACTAACAGTTGTGCTCTCAGTTGTTGTGGCTGGTGTAGTTGTTTCAGTTGTACTAACAGTTGTGCTCTCAGTTGTTGTGGCTGGTGTAGTTGTTTCAGTTGTACTAACAGTTGTGCTCTCAGTTGTTGTGGCTGGTGTAGTTGTTTCAGTTGTACTAACAGTTGTGCTCTCAGTTGTTGTGGCTGGTGTAGTTGTTTCAGTTGTACTAACAGTTGTGCTCTCAGTTGTTGTGGCTGGTGTAGTTGTTTCAGTTGTACTAACAGTTGTGCTCTCAGTTGTTGTGGCTGGTGTAGTTGTTTCAGCTGTACTAACAGTTGTGCTCTCAGTTGTTGTGGCTGGTGTAGTTGTTTCAGTTGTACTAACAGTTGTGCTCTCAGTTGATGTGGCTGGTGTAGTTGTTTCAGTTGTACTAACAGTTGTGCTCTCAGTTGTTGTGTCTGGTGTAGTTGTTTCAGTTGTACTAACAGTTGTGCTCTCAGTTGTTGTGGCTGGTGTAGTTGTTTCAGTTGTACTAACAGTTGTTGTGGCTGGTGTAGTTGTGTCAGTTGTGCTCTCAGTTGTTGTGACTGGTGTAGTTGTTTCAGCTGTACTAACAGTTGTGCTCTCAGTTGTTGTGGCTGGTGTAGTTGTTTCAGTTGTACTAACAGTTGTGCTCTCAGTTGTTGTGGCTGGTGTAGTTGTTTCAGTTGTACTAACAGTTGTGCTCTCAGTTGTTGTGGCTGGTGTAGTTGTTTCAGTTGTACTAACAGTTGTGCTCTCAGTTGTTGTGGCTGGTGTAGTTGTTTCAGTTGTACTAACAGTTGTGCTCTCAGTTGTGGCTGGTGTAGTTGTTTCAGTTGTACTAACAGTTGTTGTGGCTGGTGTAGTTTTCTCTGCTGTACTAACAGTTGTGCTCTCAGTTGTTGTGGCTGGTGTAGTTGTTTCAGTTGTACTAACAGTTGTGCTCTCAGTTGTTGTGGCTGGTGTAGTTGTTTCAGCTGTACTAACAGTTGTGCTCTCAGTTGTTGTGACTGGTGTAGTTGTTTCAGTTGTACTAACAGTTGTGCTCTCAGTTGTTGTGGCTGGTGTAGTTGTTTCAGTTGTACTAACAGTTGTGCTCTCAGTTGTTGTGGCTGGTGTAGTTGTTTCAGTTGTACTAACAGTTGTGCTCTCAGTTGTTGTGGCTGGTGTAGTTGTCTCAGTTGTACTAACAGTTGTGCTCTCAGTTGTTGTGACTGGTGTAGTTGTTTCAGTTGTACTAACAGTTGTGCTCTCAGTTGTTGTGGCTGGTGTAGTTGTTTCAGTTGTACTAACAGTTGTGCTCTCAGTTGTTGTGGCTGGTGTAGTTGTTTCAGTTGTAGTTGTGCTCTCAGTTGTTGTGGCTGGTGTAGTTGTTTCAGCTGTACTAACAGTTGTGCTCTCAGTTGTTGTGGCTGGTGTAGTTGTCTCTGTTGTACTAACAGTTGTGCTCTCAGTTGTTGTGGCTGGTGTAGTTGTTTCAGTTGTACTAACAGTTGTGCTCTCAGTTGTTGTGGCTGGTGTAGTTGTTTCAGTTGTAGTTGTGCTCTCAGTTGTTGTGGCTGGTGTAGTTGTTTCAGCTGTACTAACAGTTGTGCTCTCAGTTGTTGTGGCTGGTGTAGTTGTCTCTGTTGTACTAACAGTTGTGCTCTCAGTTGTTGTGGCTGGTGTAGTCGTTTCAGTTGTACTAACAGTTGTGCTCTCAGTTGTTGTGGCTGGTGTAGTTGTTTCAGTTGTACTAACAGTTGTGCTCTCAGTTGTTGTGGCTGGTGTAGTTGTTTCAGTTGTAGTTGTGCTCTCAGTTGTTGTGGCTGGTGTAGTTGTTTCAGCTGTACTAACAGTTGTGCTCTCAGTTGTTGTGGCTGGTGTAGTTGTCTCTGTTGTACTAACAGTTGTGCTCTCAGTTGTTGTCACTGGTGTAGTCGTTTCAGTTGTACTAACAGTTGTGCTCTCAGTTGTAGTAGCCAGTGTAGTTGTTTCAGTTGTACTAACAGTTGTGCTCTCAGTTGTTGTGGCTGGTGTAGTTGTTTCAGTTGTAGTTGTGCTCTCAGTTGTTGTGGCTGGTGTAGTTGTTTCAGCTGTACTAACAGTTGTGCTCTCAGTTGTTGTGGCTGGTGTAGTTGTCTCTGTTGTACTAACAGTTGTGCTCTCAGTTGTTGTGGCTGGTGTAGTTGTTTCAGTTGTACTAACAGTTGTGCTCTCAGTTGTTGTGGCTGGTGTAGTTGTTTCAGTTGTAGTTGTGCTCTCAGTTGTTGTGGCTGGTGTAGTTGTTTCAGCTGTACTAACAGTTGTGCTCTCAGTTGTTGTGGCTGGTGTAGTTGTCTCTGTTGTACTAACAGTTGTGCTCTCAGTTGTTGTGACTGGTGTAGTCGTTTCAGTTGTACTAACAGTTGTGCTCTCAGTTGTTGTGGCTGGTGTAGTTGTTTCAGTTGTACTAACAGTTGTGCTCTCAGTTGTTGTGGCTGGTGTAGTCGTTTCAGTTGTACTAACAGTTGTGCTCTCAGTTGTTGTGGCTGGTGTAGTTGTTTCAGTTGTAGTTGTGCTCTCAGTTGTTGTGGCTGGTGTAGTTGTTTCAGCTGTACTAACAGTTGTGCTCTCAGTTGTTGTGGCTGGTGTAGTTGTCTCTGTTGTACTAACAGTTGTGCTCTCAGTTGTTGTGGCTGGTGTAGTTGTTTCAGTTGTAGTTGTGCTCTCAGTTGTTGTGGCTGGTGTAGTTGTTTCAGCTGTACTAACAGTTGTGCTCTCAGTTGTTGTGGCTGGTGTAGTTGTCTCTGTTGTACTAACAGTTGTGCTCTCAGTTGTTGTGACTGGTGTAGTCGTTTCAGTTGTACTAACAGTTGTGCTCTCAGTTGTTGTGTCTGGTGTAGTTGTTTCAGTTGTACTAACAGTTGTGCTCTCAGTTGTTGTGGCTGGTGTAGTTGTTTCAGCTGTACTAACAGTTGTGCTCTCAGTTGTTGTGGCTGGTGTAGTTGTTTCAGCTGTACTAACAGTTGTGCTCTCAGTTGTTGTGGCTGGTGTAGTTGTCTCTGTTGTACTAACAGTTGTGCTCTCAGTTGTTGTGGCTGGTGTAGTTGTTTCAGTTGTACTAACAGTTGTGCTCTCAGTTGTTGTGGCTGGTGTAGTTGTTTCAGTTGTACTAACAGTTGTGCTCTCAGTTGTTGTGGCTGGTGTAGTTGTTTCAGTTGTACTAACAGTTGTGCTCTCAGTTGTTGTGACTGGTGTAGTCGTTTCAGTTGTACTAACAGTTGTGCTCTCAGTTGTTGTGGCTGGTGTAGTTGTTTCAGTTGTACTAACAGTTGTGCTCTCAGTTGTTGTGGCTGGTGTAGTTGTTTCAGTTTACTAACAGTTGTGCTCTCAGTTGTTGTGACTGGTGTAGTCGTTTCAGTTGTACTAACAGTTGTGCTCTCAGTTGTTGTGACTGGTGTAGTCGTTTCAGTTGTACTAACAGTTGTGCTTTCAATGTTTGTGGTGGGTGTAGTTGTGTCAGCTGGAAGGAGTGCAATAAAACAGTTTAATGCACAGGTAGTTCCAAGTCAGTTTAATCACTGTTTAATAATAATGCACTGTTTACATTGAAGCATACACGTATTCGTCACTCAAAGATCACGATTCACACACACTGTATATTTGTTGTGTTTGTTAATAGTTTTATTTTAGACTGTTTACTTGATTACTTAATGACTTGAGAACTTTTTACTTATATTAGGCAGTTGATTATTGCTGTGGTTTACTTGTAAGTTTTTGGTCGTATTTCCCACCATAAGTAATCATGTTATTAAAGCTAGATACTAGATAGCACACCACTAGCCTTTTTTTTATTTTTATTTTTTTGTAAGATACCAAAATAAGCAAGATTTTTGCATTTTGTTTGTTCTATTATTTTGGATGACTATTGTGCATCTAACATAATACATAATATGGTAAATGTGGTATCCCAATTATTAAATAAAAAAACATTTTACATTTTTCAAGCTGCTCACTGCAGAGTGGGATGGGTTGGAGCTTACATCTAGCCAGCAAATTTCTAGAAATTTACGACCACAAAATCCATCATTTTGATCACAAAAAATTATCACGAAGCCTGGAGGGAATGTGCAGATACAAAATGCTTCTCCTAATTTCTCTAGTGAACTAACCTGCAGTCAACACTAAATGCCTGAGGTAAATATAATGCTACATGAAATATTATTCTCAAGCTGTTTTATTGATATCTTTCCATAGTTGAAACACTGGTTGAGAGATGTAAAACATATCGATCATTGTCTCTTCTTCCTCTTCTTCTTCTTCTGCGCTTTTTACTGGTAGCAAACAGCATTGCATTGCCACGCACCCCCTTCTGGATTGGAATGTGGATCGCATGTGACAATGTTTTCATCTTTCGACTGCATGCACCAAACCGCGACGCCTGTACGTGTACCGTTACAACCCTAATGTGTGTGTGTGCCTACGTAATTGTTTATTCGTTTATATATACACAGTAAGCAGGAGACTTTTGCCTTTTATGAGTTGCCAGACCTACCTGCACTGACTTCGATAGATCCAGCAGTAATGTTCAGGTCACTCATAATTTCTCCATTCATCATTGTGGTTTGAATCTCACTACTTGATGGTACAGTTGTTGAGTTGTCTGTAGTGCTGAAAGCTAGTTCTGCATCAGTGATGGTTGACCCAGGTCTGAAATACATTTTAAGAAATAATGAGAAACACAATTTTTTTTTAATATAACCACTACAGTAATGGTTTGTTGCAGTTTTTTGCTTTCTCTCTCTCTCTCTCTCTCTCTCTCTCACACAGACACACACAAACACACAGAAAGAGATTTAGATTTTTAATAACAAACTTTATTCATTCATGACTCAAGTTTTTCCATTGATCTTGACTAGTGATGTCCTGTGAGACACTGAAAGTATACTGTTGGCAGTACTTTCACTTCAACCTTTCCATAGTCCCATCACTGACGTACATTTGTAAAACATGGTTTTCTTATTTTAAAATCGTTCCAGAAAGAAACAAAAACATCACATCACTTAACAGGTAACTGTTAAAATGCCAATATGCACTCTTTGGCTTAATAATTGTTATAAACCCATTACATGTGACTACTAGACAATGATCAGAAAAAACAGTTGGTGTAATAAAACAACTTTTCACAACATTAAAATGATGCTTAAACAATAAAACCCATCCAATCTGGCTAAAGAAATGAATTTTTCTCTATTATATACCCATGTGTACTGTCTTACATTATTATTTAGATCCCCTCATAGATCACATAGCTATGGGTCCCAATCAGTTCATTTAAAGCACGACTTGAAAGCACCATTTATGACTGTATCATTAATACAGTCACTTTGTCTCTTGGACAAACATTACATCAAATATCATTTTGTCTGATAAGCTCAAACAGCATATCTCTTTATGTATATCTCGGCTCCATTCAAAT